TTGTTCTTTGTGCTCTGGCTGAAATAGCCACACTTTTTTAAGAGTATATTTTCAAACACTTGGAACATCAAAAAGATTTTATAGAATATTCAATCTTTGGATGTTTGGCTTGTTGTGAACGTACCTATTTTTCCGACAGTTGGAGAAAGTGTCATAAAAGTTTGCTCTAAATAAAAGTTTGCCTCTTGACTTTTTCCCCACCCTCTTGTTACGGTAAACAAAACAAGAACAGCTGATGGATCATCGTAAATTTTTAAAGAACTCCAAGAAGATTTATTTAACTTCGATCGACTCGCAAATCCTGATTGAAACCAAACTACATTGATACAAAGAGCGATGTGGACATGTTAAATAAACTCATACACCTCACACTGACAGCTTTAATAACAAGCTTCTTTTTTGTTTTCTTGGCACAAAATGCTTTCGTGCTTGAGATGGCAACGGGCCCAGGTTGGCACTCTGCAAAGATACAAACAAGATGGTTTTATCTAGACAAGCTGTAGGCACTGATAAACTTCCTCAAATGAAAAGTCATCCTTTAACAGTGAAAAATATAAGCAATAACCTTGACAGGAGTTACATTATTCATAGAGTTTGCTACATAATTATTTACGTGCGTGTAGTTCTGTTTCATCAGTTGATTCAGATAAAAGTGAACCTTTAAAAGTACATTATGGTACCACTTTACAATAAGGCTTCACTTATAGCTGGCTAATAAATAGTTTATAGATAAGTATTAATTCTTCTATAGACACTTTATAAATCATTAATAACTGCTTATTATGCATTAAATAAGGGTGACAGAGAAACAAAACTGACCAGTTTCTTGCCAAATAGTGAGCCAAATCTGACACATTTTTAAGGATATAATATTAGTTGTAGATACTTATAATGCAGGGATAATGTACAATATTATATGCTAAAGAAATAGGTTTTCAAATGCTTTGTGCTCACAAGGTAGCAACTTAGTCTAAAATGTTTAATATAACAACTCTAGATGAAATATATAGGTGGCAAATTTGACTCACTATTTGGCAACAAACTGGTCAGTTTTGTTTCTCTGTCACCCTTATTTAATGCATAATAGGCAGTTATTAATGATTTATAAAGTGTTTGGAATTAATAACGTATCTATAAACTATTTATTAGCCATCTATAAGGGGAGCCTTATTGTAAAGTAGGACCAACATTTGTAATAGTGTGAGTTTGCATATATTAAATTAAACATATGCTCAATATACTCAAAAAGGGAAGAAAAAAAATCTGAGTTTGCTTTGATTATTTAAAAATAATGATGTGCATGTGTGCATGCATTTGTGTGTCATGCAGAATCTAGAAGGTAACCTGAGAAAAGCCTGAACCACAAACAAGAACAACAACTTTTGTGGTTTTTTTGCACATGCACATATACCGTATGTGATTCCAAAGAAGAGGGGTCCGTGGAGACCAGAATACAAAAAGACACAGGAGTCAGATATGAAGGACATCCAACTGTAGACGTGAGACTATAAACATTTGGAGATTCAAAACTGGAGGCACCAAGAGCCGAGCAAGGACAAGAAATGTTTTGGCTGCGTCTAAGAGAGGCCAGTGTGAAAACAGATAATGGGGAAGAGAAAGAAGAAGAAGAGACTGTGTTCCTGTATTCAACAACGAACAATGAAAAGCTTCTGTTTCTCAGCACCAGAAACTTTTAGACATAGCCACAATACACTAACGCTATCTGAGACCAGCTCGCCGTGACTAGAGGAAAACCAGGACGAAATGAAAGGTTTAATCAAATCAAAACTGAATTATATTAGCACTAGAAAGGCGTTACGTGGTGTTCATACAAGCACAAAGTCAGAGTTCATGTCATGAAACCATAAAGTATCACTTTACTTCTAACTGTTGCAGCCATTTTTGCAAAATAATGGTGCAACTTTCTTATTATTTAGTAATTAAAATAGAAAAACTGTGTTTGTGTTAAGTTAGTAAACCCCCTTTTTCCATGTCATTATTAAACAGACTTGTAAACACTTATCATGTCGTTATTTTATATGCACAAATTAAATGTGAATGTTGTTTGTGTTTTTATTATCCCTGACTCCAGCTCACTTTACTGATCATTTGATTGATCAGAGTGTCGGGTTTGATCCTGGTGGGTGTTTTTGCTCCAGAGACAGATCCTGTAATGTGGGTTTTGAAAGCATGAAAGTTCACCAGCCTACTGAGTCATTAGTATTGATCTGTGAGGTTTTCCACCCTCAGATATACAGCATATATCCATCCATTCATTCACTTTACCCACGTCTTCCTTTATGGGTTGCGGAGGTCATTGGCGCCCATATCCAGCCATCACTGTGCGAGAGGTGGGGGTCTCAGATATGTGTTTATTTCATTCACCACCAAAAACCTTTTCAAACAGCAACGCCATCCAGTCATTCTCACCTATAATTCTGCATCAACATTAGAGGGCAACGTTGACTCATCCTCAACACTGGCAAAAAGACAGGAGAAAGAACTGGAAGTGGCAGAAATGAAGATGTTGAGGTTCTCCTTAGGAGTGACAAGGATGGATTAGATTAAGAATGAGATCATCAGAGGTACAGCACAGGTGGAACAACTGGGAGATAAAGTTGGAGAGGCCACACTGAGATGGTTTGAACATGTCCAGAGGAGGGACAGTGGGTATACTGGTAGAAGGATGTTAGAAATGCAGCTGCCAGGAAAAAGCCAGAGGAGATATATGGATGCAGTTAGAGAGGACATGGAGGTAAGTGCAGAGGACAGAGTGAGATGGAGGAAGACGACTCGCTGTGGTGACCCCTGAAGAGGGAAAAGCCGGAAGAAGAAGAAGAATGCATAAGCACTCAAGTACCCCTATTACTACCTTGTCTAATGTTTTGTCCTCTTCCTCACCATGAACCTTTAATATATAAAAAAGCAAATTATACATAAGAACAAGCATTTCTTGTTTTCCTTCACCCAGTGTGTCTACCATTGCTATGGGACTAAAGGCTTTCTTTCAAATTCCTCCTGAATACAGAGAGTGCACTACAATGATTCGATAGTTACATTTTGTTTTAGCTCAGCTTTCTCAAAGTCAAAGTTTCTTTATTTATCATATGGACCACACGTGGTGGAACGAAATTGTGTACACGGGGTCCCAGTTACATCCAACAAAAGTACAAGTTGTAAAAGAAAAACAGTGATAAGATCTAAGATATGAACTAAGAACAATGTTTAACTAAAAATACGCTAAGCCCTAGTAGTATAAAAACAATACGCCGAACAGCAGCACGAACATGAGTCTGTGTGAGCAGATGAGTATGAATGAACACCGCAACATGAAACAAATCAGCAGCATGAGATCAGCAGCATGGATAATCAGCAGCACATAACAATCAAGTGGCATACAGTGATATTTTTTCAGTGATTTTCCTGGTTAGAGAGTCTAAACAGCCTCAGGGTAGAAGCTGTTCCTCAGTCTAGTGGTTCTACACTTAATGCTCCTTATCCTCCTGCCTGAGGGGAGCGGGGTAAAAAGTGTGTGTGCTTGGTGAGTGGGGTCCTTCATGATGCAGTTGGCTCTCTTCCGGCATCTAGAGGTGTAAATGTCTGTGATGGTGGGGAGGCTGATTCCAACAGACTTCTGTGCAGCCTTCACCACTCTCTGCAAAGCTTTTCTTTCTGCAGCTGTGCAGCCTCCATGCCACACGTTGATGCTGGAGCACAGGACGCTCTCCACTGCACACCTGTAGAAGGAGGTGAGGACTGAGCTTCCCAGACCAGCTCGTCTCAGCCGCCTGAGGAAGTAGAGTCTCTGATGAGCTTTCTTGATCAGGCTGTTGTTGACTATTCCTTTGAGTCATATTTTCAGTCTGTATTTCTGTCTGCCTCATTAACTTGGCAGTCAGGGAGTGACAGACACCGTTTTGCAGTCACTGTGGTGACCATGATGAGCCCCTGGAAGTAGCTTTATTTATTTAATTGTTTTATTCTGATTCTCTTTACATTTCTTATACCGCTCATAGATCTTGTCTTAGATTATTACAATATGTTGTTGTTTTGAGCAGCAGCTGCAACAGAATCCTTCCAAATTGTACATTTTAGTTTTAAACTGCTCATTCTTTGTGAACTGGACGCCCATCTATTCTCAAACAAGTTTCAACATGCTCAGGTGAACTAACTGAACAACTGAAAGGATTTTTATCATTTTCATTCATCAGTTTGCACCTTAATTTGTTTTATTTGTTACAATAACAGAATATATTAGTTTAGCTGCTGTTCATGCGTGTGAGGTTCTACTCAGATACATTTGAGGATCTTTACTGTGACTTTAATGCTCAAGATATCACATTTTTTCAGTATTTTCAATGCGGTTTGTAAGCACCAAAAAAAAATAAAAAATTAAATCCTCAAGATTTTACGTTGTTTGCTCATCCTTGTATGTCTGAAAGCGGCCGTGATTCACTAATTTCTGGCAACATACAGTAATTATTCATGACAGTAACACCTACTGCGCGTGGGTGGGAGAAAAAAACGAGTCATGTTGACATGTTTCAGCAAGCAAGGCGTCAGGGTCTTTTTACACAGGACATCTAGTGATTTTAGCCATTTTCCTCCCGCGAATTTAAGCTTTTGTCTTTCTTTTTTTTTTTCTAAGGGTGGTTATGAGTTCTCCGGACTAATTATAAAACATAAAAATATAAAGTTTAGCTTAAAAATGCTGCATCGCTGCACATAAACACAAAGTTAACCGGAACTTGAGTGACATTCCCTTCAAAATAAAGTTTCGTTAAGCAAAGGACAAGATTTTTGCGAAAACTAAATAAGGACAGTAAAATGCTACGAATTAAATGTACTTGTATAAGGGTACGTTTATCATAAATGTATATTAAACACATTATAATCACTTCTTGTAAATTTTAGAATGATCATTTTAACCGTTTGATTTTATTTTGAAAAGCATCACCGGAAACGATGGTGTAACGTCTCGTGTTTGTCCATTGTTGCTGCTGCTGCTGCTGTCTTCTTCAGCGAGTGACAGGCGAAGCAGGAGGAGGGAAGACAAGTTTTTGTTTTGTTTTGTTTCGTAGCTTCGCCTGCTCCTCTTCATTATGGAGGCACGGGCTCATTTCTCCCGAAAGGAAATCAACAACACGGTATGGGAGGTCCCGGAGAAGTACACCCAGCTCAAACAGGTCGGGACCGGGGCGTACGGCTCGGTGTGGTGAGTATTGACGGTTTGTGTGTGGGATGGCCCGGGGACTGGGGTGTTCAGTTCGAGCCTTTACGACAGGCTGTGTTCCGCCTGTGGTGGGCCCGAGTCTTAAGTCCTGCACACCAACGTGTTGCCAGCACTGATGACAAAGATAGAGTCGCATGTCAACAAGTTAGCGCCTTTCGTGGGCAGCTGTTCTGTGATCTTCGAGCTAAAACATAACTAGTCCATTAACCATGTAGTTATTTCACTTTCAGTAATAGAGAACATAACGTCCATAAACATGTTGAACATGGCCTCTGGCTTTTTACTAGCATCTATGTGCAGATTATTATTATTATTATTGCTGGTGATCTTGGATTCACTCAGAATCACACATTTTACTGTTAATCCCAGGTGATGCTATAAAACAGAAACAACGTTTATTTATATTATGCTGATTTGCATGAATGATTTTAAGGCTTTGGAATCCTGTAAAAATCATTAGATCATATTGGTAGAGTTGGTAGGAGCTTCTCTCCATTGGCTCCCTGTTTGAATCCAGAATATAATTCAAAATCTTACTTCTAACCTACAAAGCTCTCAACAACCTAGCTCCATCTTATTCAATTCAGTTTATTTATATAGCACCAAGTCACAACAGAAGTCATCTCAGGGCACTGAACAGAAACATTCATATATTAAAAAATTATAATTTAACATTATTTATATGAAGAGAGTTTAACTTCATCGCAGACTCTCGTCTTGAGCAAGCATGAAGGCGACAGTGGAAAGAAAAACTCCCTCATGAGGAAGAAACCTTTAGCAGAACCAGGCTCCGTACAAGCGGACATCTGCTTTGACCGGCTGGGTTTGAGAGGAACAGGAAGGAGGAACAGATACACAATGGCAGGTCAAGAATCACATATTAAGATAGAAATAATATCAAATGAAAACTATTCACATTTATGCATTTGTAACTATTCATTTTAAAAATGACATTTTAAAAACTTAAGCGGAACTTATATTAGAGATCTCATTCCATATGTTCCTAACAGAGCACTTCGCTCTCAGACTGCAGGCTTACTTGCAGTTCCTAGAGTTTCCAAAAGCAGAATGGGAGGAAGATCTTCCAGTTATCAGGCTCCTCTCTTGAGGAACCAACTTCCAGTTTCTGTCCGTGAGGCTGACACATTGTCCAGTTTTAAAAGACTGGGCTTAAGACTTTCATTTTTGATAAATCCTATAGTTAGGGTTGTTATGCTGCCATAGACTTGGACTACTGGATGATTGATCTCATTTCTTAAAATGAATTGTTGCAAATGAACAGTTTTCATATGAAAGTATTTCTATCTTAACATGGGATTCTTGACCTGCCATTGTGTATCTGTTCCTCTCAAACCCAGCCGCTCGAAGCAGATGTCCGTTTGTCCTGAGCCTGGTTCTGCTGGAGGTTTCTTCCTGAAAAGGGAGTTTTTCCTTTCCACTGTCGCCTTTAAGCTCGCTCAAGACGAAAGTCTGCGACGAAGTTAAACTCAAAGCAGTCTGCTCCTCAGATAAATAGTGTTATTAACTGACTTTGTATGAATGTTTCTGTTCAGTGTCCTGAGATGACTTCTGTTGTGACTTGGTGCTTTATAAATAAACTGAATTGAACTGTTAAGATCATTAATTCAAGCTATTAAAAGTACTGAGATGTAAATATTTTTAAAGTTTCTAGTAGTTGACCAGTTAGTTTTTTATTGCCTATAATATTAAACTAATGTTATGTCACTTTAATGCTTCATAATGTGTAAGGTGCCAGATTTCTTTGATATTTTCACTTGCTTAATGGAAATTATTGGTGTGGTTATCTAGTTTTAGACTTTTAAGACATTTACATTGTTTTTTAAAATTGCTTTGCTCATTTTTGCTCGGCTTTCTTTCTGTGCTGCCCTGACCTTTTTATAGAAAATTGTTGCTAAATTATTGAAACCATAATGGCACAGTTAGAAAGCCAGGCAAGCAACAAACATTTGTCTCATTTTCTTTATTAATATCCTAACACCAAAAGTTAAAATGCTTTTGATAAAAGATGTTTTTGAACTTGCGTAATAATGTTCAGCAAGTCAAATGGATGTCTGAGCTAAAATTTTAGAAATCTTGTTTCTGGATTAATCCGAGTTGATCCAGTAGAATTTCACTTCAGACGTGTTTTCCCCCACCAAAAAAATTTACATTTTTATTTATGATAATTCAAACAGTCAATATTTATTCCTAATCTAGAAATTGACATTATCGTGCTTGTCAAACCATCTCCGCATGATCAAGTACTGTACGTTTTCTTTACACAGTTTAATGATTTAGAGACATTTAATGTGAAGCTGTAAATGTTTTTTAAATCTTAAATATTATAAACACAAGCCTTTTAAAAACTTTATATATTAGTGTGTAATCATCGCATGCAATCGCTTCTTCATCTGACAAGTCAGTGAACGTAAACAAGGCTGTCCATGGTATTACGGTAAATATACAGTGGGAGAAGGCTGACATTTAAAAGGGCTCGTGAACTAGTTTATTCTTCATCCATTTTATTTTATTTTTTAAATTGCATTAGCTACCAACTGAAGACCCAGTAGAAACAGTAAACAAAAAAATGATCACCGTTTTTATGTAACGTACTTTCTGCAGACCTCTGCCGACATGGACGAGCTGCTGCCGATGGAACCGACTATAAGTGACTCCATCAGTCTTATAAACTCCTCTGTGTGCAAGAGATTTGAATCATGTGTGTCGGTGGATGTGTCTCCAAATAGCTCAACAAGCTTCCCCTCCCACAGATTGGTGCCCTGCAGATCACTGCAAGCATGCACATCAGAAGTGGCCAAACATTTACACAAAAACAACTCAAACTACCCCAGACCATCATCTGACAGCATTTCTGTTGTTGCCTGCAAAGCTTCTGATAGTTCATCTCAAAATTCTGTCGTTTTTATTCCCACAGCTCTTAACGCTCAGAATGAAAAGGGATGAATCTAAATTTCTGCAGATATCCATCGTGAATACTCACTGCCAAAATTTACACAAGAAGCTATAACGGCAATGTTACAAAGAAAGCAAAAGTCTAGCTAAAAGCCAAAAGGAGCAATATACTAGCTAAAATGGGCAAAACACTAGCTTAAAAAGAGCAAAAAGTATCAAAGGGCTAGCTAAAATTAGCAAAGGCTATGTAAATGTAACAAAAGGCTAACAAGCTAAAAGTAGGTCTAAAAGTGTACAAACGCTAAATAAATAAATCAAAAGACTACTAGAAGCTAAAAGTAGCAAACACCTATACAAAAGAAGGAGTTAGGAATAAGGAAGTTATTCAGGTTGTCCGGCGACAACCTCTCAACAGAATCTGTATGCCAAAATTGTGGTTGTCTGCAACCTTTTGCAATAAAGTATGCAAAAAAATAATAATCTAAAGAAAAATGTAATTTATTAAGTATATTGCACTATATACAAAGTTATTCTCAGTCTGCCATCCTGTGGACTGCTGCCTTGGAATTTCCAAGCTACTGAGTAGCAGACTATTTCAGGAGCTGCTGGAGAGGAACTTCCTCATCCTCTTCCTCCTCATCAGACTTTGCAAGAGATGCCCTTGCAGCATATTTAGGGAAAGGATTAAAGCAGGAAAAAATATTTTGACGTTGAAGCTAAAACTAGAAAAAGGCTAGCTAAAAGAAACAAAAGACTTAACTATATGCTCAAACTGGCAAAAATGGTAGTTAAAGGGTTATAATGTGAAAGGGTATGTAACCGTATCAAAATGCTAGCTAGAAGCTAAAAGTTGCAAAAGCTTGGAAAAAGTATCAAAAATGTAGAAGCTAAAAGTAGCAAAGGGCTAGTTAAATGTAACAAAAGGCTAACTAAAAGCTAAAAATAGCTAAATGTCTGTTAAATATGAAATTATGTAAAGGCTAGCTAAAATTGACTAAATGGTTGCTAGAAATAGCTGAACAGAAGCAAAAAACTTAAAGTAGTAAAAGAGTAGCTAAAAGTAGCAGAGAAGTAGCTAAAATAGTCTAGTTCAATTTAGTTCAAAGTTGCCAGCTGACACCTACAAAGCTTGTGCAGCATTATGGTAATGGTGTGTTACTCCATTTTCCCACAGCTCAGCAACAAATGAGAAAACTAAAGAGAAAGTGGCCATCAAGAAGCTCCACAGGCCCTTCCAGTCAGAGATCTTTGCTAAGAGGGCGTACCGAGAGCTCCGGTTACTCAAACACATGAAGCATGAGAATGTAAGTAGCTTAAGCTCCATCCATCTCCATCGACTGTATGTTTCACATGTTCTTGGTCATAATTTGTGCTTTTAGACGTCACGATTTCCTGTAAATACGGTTCTCTCTCATTTCATGTAGGTAATAGGAATCTTGGATGTGTTTACACCGGCCTCAACCTTGGATGATTTCCAAGACTTGTGAGTATTAGTGCCCTATTAGTGCATACATAAAATCAATAACAACCTGTAGTATCATTTTACACATCCAGCCTCATCATCTGCTGCTGTTTGTTTTAGGGTTCAGACAACCCTTTATTTTTCTTTAAAACAATGAAATCAAATTTCCTCTGTCTCAGTGAGTTAATGATCTGTTAACTGATCATCATATTGATTTATTCTGTCTGACAGAAACCTGGCTACAACAACAGGATTTTGTTAGTTTAAGTGAATCCACTCTGCTAATTATTTAAAATTTCATTTTCCTAGAACAACAGGTGGAGGAGTAGCTGCTATCTTTCAGTCAGCATTATTAATTAGTGGTAAACCAATTATTAGTTACGATTCTTTTGAGCTGTTGTCCCTCAGTTTTTCTCATCCTAAATGGAACTCACAAAAACAACTTTTACTACCAGTAGTTCTTAAATATTGTCCACCAGGCTCTTGTTCTCAGTTTTTGTCTGAATTCTCAGATTTTTTTTGTCTGACTTTATTGAATTCTGTTAAACTTATAATAATTGGGGAATTCAATATGCTGAAAGTGATAGCTTAAACATAAAATATTAATAGACTCAATTGGTTTAACCCTAAATGTCCAAACATCTACTCATTCTCATCATCACACTCTTGATCTGGTTCTGACATTTGGAATAGAGATTAAGTACTTCATAATACATCCTCAAAATCCTGTTCTGTCTGACAGATATTTATTTAGATCTTTGATCATTTTACAACTTCAATACAAACTTCACTTGATAAAATTGCTCTGCTGAAAAAGAAAATATTCAGTCAGAGAAAGCTAGCTCCTTGGTTCAGTTGAGTTACGTTATTTAAAACTGCCATCTAGAAAGCTGGAAATAAAATGGCACTCCACTAACATGGAATAATTTTATTTAACTTGGCGATAGTCTGCTATCATATAAAAAAGCTTTCTGTAAAGCTAGAACTGTATATTATTCATCTTTACTAGATGAGAATACAAATAATCCCAGGTTTCTGTTCAGTGTTATAGCTAGACTAATAAAAAATCCTATCTCTGTTGAACCATGTATCCCTACATCTATAAGCAGTGATGACGTCACAAGATTCTTTATAAATAAAATAATTTCAATTAGAGAGAAAATTCACACCGTCCTTCCTACTATCGCCTCTGGTTCCCTGTCAGGTGAGACAGATTTAGAAATGTCACTAAGAACCTGATTTATTTTTGAAATCTCTGAATTGTCAAAAAGAATAGCTTTATCAAATCATCATGTCTGCTAGATCCCATCCCAATCAGACTGCGTAAAGAGGTATTACCCCTAATTAATATCCCCATTTTGCATTTGCTTAATTTGTCTCTAATGAATGGTTACGTGCCACAGAACTTTAAGGTTGCTGTAATTAAACTTTTTCTTAAGAAACCTGATATTGATTTAGGAATTCTGGACGATTATAGACGTACATCTAATCTAACATTCATCTCAGAAATTCTTGAGAAAATAGTTGCAAATCAGTTTTGTGAACATCTGAACAGAAATAATCTGTTTGAGGAGTTTCAGTCAGGGTTTAGAGCTTATCATAGCACTGAAACAGCACTGGTGAAAGTCCTAATGATATTCTCATGGCCTCTGACAATGGACTTGTGTCTTCACTGGCCTGTTAGACCACAGTGCTGCATTTGATACAGTTGATCATAATATTCTTCTACAGAGACTTAAGTATGAAACTAGGATTGCATGAACAGCTTTAATTGGTTTAAATCATATTTGATATCTTCCAGTTTATAAATGTAATTAATTAATCTTCATACAACAGAAGGTTCAGTGGTTCAGGGTTCAGTGCTTGGACCAATACTCTTTACTTTATAAATGCTTCTATTAGGTAAAGTTATTAAACAGCATGGGATAAATTGTCATTGTTATGCTGCTGATACTTTGTTATATTTGTCCATGAAACCCGATGAATCCAATCAGTTACCTCAATTCAATTCAGTTTATTTATATAGTGCCAAATCACAACAAAGTTGTCTCAGGGCACTTTACAGGAACATTCACAAACATAAAAGCCAATTAGTAAAGTTCTTTATCTACGGAGGCCAGCAGACAAGTTGAATCTTGGCTTTGTTGCAGTCTCAATTACAAGCATATCTTAAAGACATAAAAACCTGGATGGCCCTTAATTTTCTGCTTTTAAACTCAGAGGTTGATGTTTTGGGGCCTTAGCATTTTGGGAATAAACTTTGCAGCCTTTCACTTCCTCTGGATAGCATTAATTTGGCCTCCATTTCTAATGTAAAAAAAAAAAACAACCCTTGGTGTTATTTTTGATCAGAATGTTTTTTAACTCCCATATTAAAAAAGTTACCAGAAATGCCTTCCTCCACCTGCGTATTATCACTGGAAGAATAAAACTACCAGGATTATAGGATTAACAAGGTGTAGCACTCAGAAATACAAACATCTCATCATCTCTCCCCGTGTTTTCCTCAGCTACCTGGTGATGCCTTACATGTTTACTGACCTGTCGAAGGTGAGGGGTCATCTCTCTGAAGACAAAATCCAGTTTCTCGTCTATCAGATGCTCTGTGGACTGAGGGTGAGACTCTTCCCAAACATTAAATTTCATCATCAAGCATCAGAATTTCACGAGACGTTTGATAGTAAAATTCTGAAGCGAAGCACAATCGTCATTTCGAGAGTTTAAGTTGCTTTGAGTTCAAGTGGCTTCTCTCAGCTCCCGATTGATTGATAAGTTTATGCAAAAATTGTTTTTTCTTTTGCAGTACATTCACAAGGCAGGAATCATCCACAGGGTGAGTACCAGTCAGTACGGGAGCAGGTTTTTTTTTTTTTATCTTTAAAATGACTTAAAAGAAACAAAATAAATAAATTGTACGGTTTTCAGTAGTTAGTGCTTGATAGCATTTGTTCCTATGCTTTGTGATTTTTAATTTGTTTATTCATTATCATTGCGTCATATTAAAACCTGTCCAGACAGGTAGGGTGAGTGGAGTCCTCTGATGTTTGAGTGCATGTCTCGAGTTGTTAGGTCACACCCTTCAGCTCAGGAAGAAAAAAAAACATGGAGGTTTCAATATACTAACAGCTCTTACACTTTAGAGCTTTTACGCGTAAATCCCAGCTTCTTTAATTGTTTTTCGTTACCCTTTAAGTATTTCTAAATAAGTTAGTTCCTCTGTCTTTTAGGCCATCTCTTGTATCTACCACTGAGGACTGGACAGGAATTGTTGTAGACACAGAGGACAATTAACAGAACTATGCGGTTTGGTAGGCAAATATGAGACTGGCATCTTGTTTTATAAAGAGCTCTTGTTCTAATAATAATAATCACCTCAAATCAAAGCTATAATTATCACCAAGTAATGATTTAAAATATAGTTTGTTTTCTGATTATCAAAAATTTATAATTAAAAAAAAGTGTGTGTGTGTGGGGGGGGGGGGGGGCTTTAATCCATCCATTATCTTTTCCCACTACTTCCTTTCTGGGTTGCTGGTGTCCATATCCAGCAGTTACTGTACAAGAGGCGGGGGACACCCTGGACAGGTCTCCAGTCCATCACAGGGACACATGGAGAATAACAACCATTATTCACATCTAGGGACATTTTAGAGTTACAAATCAGCCTAACATGCATGTTTTTGGTCTGTGGGAGGAAGTACCAGGAGAAAACCCACATGTACACGGAGAGAACATGCAAAGTCTATCCAGAAAAGTGCCCGGGATTCAATCTGGCAACCTTCTTGGTGAGACGTGACAGCTCTACCAACTGTGTGCCACCGTGCTGCCTCTGAATTTAAATAGTTTTTCAGGATTTCCCAACCAAAAATGTTTTTGCAGCTTGAATTAATTTCATATATTTATTTATGTGATCAAAACAGAGGAGTGGTGGCACAGAGGCTAGAAAATGGTGGGCCTGTGATCGGAAGGTTGCCGGTTCAACTCTCCGAACCGACAACATCAAAATGTGGGTGGGAAAGGTGAAGCACCCACAGCTGCCTCCACCCTCATTTGCCCCACTCTGGGCCCTTGAGCAAGGCCCTTAACACCCACTATCTGTTTCCCTGGGTGCCCTAGCTGGCAGCTCTCTGCTCCACACAGAGGGCTGTGGTAGCTTGGTGGTTTGTCGTAGTGTCTCTGAGCAAGACGCCTAATCCCAAATTGCTCCCCGGTCGCTTACATAGCTGCCCATTGCTCCGCCTGGGTGTATCCCAGGTGCGATGGGTTAACTGCAGAGAGCCAGTTTCATCTTTGTATGGGAACATACAATGATGACAACACGTAGCACTTTATTATATATTATTATTATTATTATTATTATTATTATTATTATTATTATTATTATCAGGAAGGGCATCCAACATAAAAACAATTGCCAAGTCTTTGTGCGAGTTAGTTCACTGTGGCAACCCCTGAAGTAGGGAGCAGCTGAAAGAATATTTATATAATCAAAACAAAGTTTTTATATAATCAAAACAAAGTGTTAAACATTTATGAGCCTAAGGTATGAGTACCTTCTCCTGGACCAGAGTTACTGTAAAAGGTTACTGCAGTGGGCAGAAATGACCTCTTGTTCTTGTCTTAAATGCAGCAAAGCTGAAGAAACCTTTGACTCAGACCCCTTTGTTGTTTCATCGGCATATTATATAAAATGTCTAAGGTATTCGTTATGTTGAGTAACTTGTGCAGCATGATTCACAGTAAGATTAATCCTCACTGTGTTTGTCACTCTCCTGACTCCTTTTCACTGTTTTGAAGAAAACATCCATGATCCGTTATGATAAATATTAGAGCAATTATTGTCAACTGTGAACATTTGTGTGTGTTTAAACCAAGGGAAAATGTTAATACACTGCTATTACAGTGTTAAATCTTAAAGCAGCTGACACGCTAATAATGCTCAGTGTCAAATTTATCACATCATTTCACAGTATTACTCTAGAAAGGGTGTTTTGTGATTGGTTTGCTGGTGAGTCACATTGGTGAAAAAAATCAGTAGTTACGCATTGAGACAACTGAGCCAACTAAAGCTAAAGCACTAAAGCTCTTACAGACTCTCATAAGAGTCTAATCATTGTTATTTCTTGTTAATTATTATGTACTCTAAGACCCCATTACTCAATTCATTTTCTTCTCAGGACCTTAAGCCTGGAAACTTGGCTGTTAATCAAGACTGCGAACTGAAGGTACGTACTTGTAAGGATTATGAATAACACCTCAGCACTTACATAATATTAATAAAGCAAGTTCCGCAGCAAAATCAGGTACAATTTGACTTTATGATACAAATTAAAAACATTACATTGGTCTTTATACAGTAGTCCCTTGCTAATTTGCATTTTATCGCGGACTCGCTCTATCGTGGTTTTTCAAAATAAGATTGGACATGACACACAGTTGGCTGATTGATGGATGAGCTGCACGATCAGCATGAAATTTTTATTTAAAATAAGTTATTTTAAATTATGTAGCACCCTCTGCACCATTGTGCAACCCATACCGCAGGATAAACTTCCTGCCGCAGCTGATCAGCTGTTCTTGTGCAGAGCGTAGAAGTGGGCGTGGCCAAGAGCGCTTGCAGGTGGCTGAGCAGCGGAGGCAGGGAGCTGAAATCATGACATTCTGTGCTCTTTTAGAGCATTTAGAGTTTAGAAACATTGTTTAGAATATTGCAAGAGTGTGGAAAGGGTTTAAAAAGCCTTTATATATATATATATATATATATAAAGGCTTGTATATGTATATATATATATATATATATATATATATATATATATACTAAAATAAACTACTACTTGTACTACTATTCCTACTTTGTACTACTATTCCTACTTTGCGGTTTTTCACTTATCGCTGGGCTTCAGGGTATGGATCCCCCTCGATAAACGAGTGACTACTGTATTTATATATGATAAACATGCAGTATCACTGCAAGTCTCTACAAATGTAAATAAGCTTGTAAGACATTCTGGTTAATATGAAACTGAGGTTTGATGCACTTGGTGCTCGTAGTATAGATTATTATCTTATTGCTTGTTTGTTTTTTTGTTTGTTTTTTTGGTGCTCATGCAGATCCTAGACTTCGGGTTGGCTCGCAGTACTGACGCAGAGATGACGGGCTACGTGGTGACCCGTTGGTACCGGGCGCCTGAGGTCATTCTGAACTGGATGCACTACACCCAGACTGGCAAGACAATTGTAGCTGTTACATATTCTTACTGTACTTCCGTCCTTACTGTTGCTGTAACTGCTTTAGGCCTCGTCCATGCAGGAACGGCGTTTTGTGGCTGCGCTAACGTTTTGTGTTGTTTCAGCCTTGAGTCCACACAGAAACAGCATTATAGGAGCCCATAACGGTGTGTTTTTCAAACATGGTTGCAGTGACAAAATCCATGAATTTAGTGTTTCCCCTAGATAACTTGCTATGGCGGGACACTCATCTCGTCCGTGATTTTTGTCGCGGGGGGTGGGGGTGTGTGATGGAGACACGTCCTGAGCTGCAGTGCCCTGTTTAGCATAGTTTAGCGTTACGTCAGTGCCAACAGGTGGTTGGGGGGTGGGGGTTCGGTTGACTGGGCGCTCGGCTCTGTTGATGGGGAGTTGCGCCCCGCTTGTATAATGGTAGGGGAAACACTGACGCCAACATTGCTTTCCTGTGGGGATAGCCACCGTTTGAAAACAATGATGTCATAGATTCACCTCCTCCTTAACTTACATTTCCAAGTGTGATAAATGTAACAATAATAAAAACAGATTCCGTGTTTGGTCTGTGCTGCATACGCCAGTTGCTCAAGGCTGAAGAACAATAACATTGCTTAAAATAGCACAGAGCAAAAACCCTAATGGTTTTGTCAGTTTCAAAGACTGAATACTGGGCCTGAAATAGTCCATTATGTCTTCATATTTGGACCGACACAACTCCCCGTCAATGTTAGTTTAATGTGAGACAAAGTAGAAGATCCACTTGGTTAACCATCCTTCTATTATCTTCCACTTGTTCCAAAGTCGGTCGCGGAGGCAGCAACTTCAGCAGGGAAGCCCAGACATCTCTTTCCACAGCCACCTCTTCCAGCTCTTCTGGGAGGATTCCAAGGTGTTCCCAAGCCAACCAAGAGACATAGTCTGTCCAGCGTGTCCTGGGTCTTCCCCAGGGTCTCCTCCCAATCACACATGCCCGAAGCACCTCCCTAGAGAGGCGCCTAGGGAGCATCCTTCCCAGATGCCTGAACCACCACTGGCTCCTCTCAGGGTGGAGGAGCAGCAGTTCTACTCCAAGTCTGTCCCAGATAAATTGAACTTCTCACCCTATCTCTAAGGGAGAGTCCAGCTACCCTCCGCAGAAACACATTTCAACTGCAATCTCATTCTTTTGGTCACCACCCAATATCCTATAAGGGTAGGAACATAGACTGACGGATAAACTAAGAGCTTTGCCTTTCAGCTCAGTTCCCTCGTTACCAGAACGGACTGGCGCAGTCTGCAATACTGCAGACACGACATCAATCCATCTGTCCATCTCGCGCGCCATTCTTCCCTTATGAACAAAACCCCAAGATACTTGAACTCCTCCACTTGAGGCAGAACCTCACCCTCGATCTGAAGAGAGCAATCCACCCTTTTCCGACTGAGGACCATAGTCTCAAATGTAGAGGTGCTAATTTTCTTCCCAGCCACTTCACACTCAGCTGCGATTCACTGCAGTGAAAGCTGAAGATCACAGCACGATGACGCCAACAAGACCCCATCATCCGCAAATGGCAGAGAAGGAATCCTGAGGCCACCGAACTGGACACCCTCTGCCGCCTGGCTGCATTGAGGAATTCTCTCCAAGAGAGTTATGGACAGAATTGGTGACAAAGTACAGCCCTGGCAGAGTCCAACTCCCACCTTGAGGGGGTCTGACTTTCTGCCAGCAATGTGAGCCAAACTCTTGGACCGCTTGTATAGGGACCGCACAGCCCGTAGCAATGGACCCCCAATCCCGTACTTGCGGAGCATCCCCCACAGTGTACCCCGAGGAATGTGGTTGAACACCTTTTCCAAGTCCACAAAACACATGTAGACTGGATGGTTAAACTCACATGACCCCTCGAGGACCCTAGTGAGGGTAAAGAGCTGGTCCAGTTTTCCACAGCCAGGACGGAACCCGCTTTATTCCTCTTGGATCTTTCAATCATTGATCAGACTCACTTCTCCAGTACCCCTGAACAGACCTTACCAGGGAGGCTAAGGAGAGTGATGCCCCTGTAATTAGAGCACACCATCCGTCCCCCTTTTTGAGAAGGGGAACCACCACCACAGTCTGCCAATTTAGTGGCATTGCCCCTGATGTCCACGTGATGTTGCAAACGCGTGTCAACAAAGACAGTCCCACAACATCCAGAACCTTAAGAATATCACGCTGGATCTCGTCCACCAGCACACAAAAAGGAAGGTTTTAGTCTGTGTGTATTTACAGTTTTGAATGTCTGCTCCATGTTTTCTCTACGATTTTTGTGGCTGTGTTACAGTGCCACTTACAGATCTGGCATAAATACTACAGAGCTTGTAGTTTTATCTTCACAGTGAGGCGTTTTCTATAAGTCTGTGAATGAAAGCATTTCTAGAAAAAAATTCTGTATTGATGAAGGAAAAGACCGTTTTGGAAAGAGCGTTCCTATGTGGATGGGGCCTTAAGTGAAGCCTGTGTACTTTTTGAGTCAGCAAAGTTTATAATCCGGTTTATAGTTCCTAACGTGCAACAGAAGATTCATTTCTGTCTTTCTTAAACTTCAATTAATTTTGGTCAAGTGTCAGCACTGTCAGGTTTCAATCAGACCATCCATCCATTATCTTTACCTGGTTCTTCCTTAAAGTAATAGTTCAGATTGTTTGAATACTTTCCTTGTTGTATTTTTGGCTCTTTAAATGGCCTCAATTAATTTCTGACCAGATTGATGAGCCAACACCTAGTTGGAGAGAAGCCACTGTAATGTGAATTTCTGCTGTCTTAAAACAACTCCAGTTTTTATATTTCATTGCACTTCATGCAAATTGTCATCAGACATTAATTTATATAGATTTTTTTTGATTATTTGCAAGAGCAGCTAGCTCTAGCACTTCTGATTCAGCTTCAGGCACTTCCCTCAGGCATATTATATTTCTGTTGGAAAACCTGTGCCCAGAGAAAATTGAAGGTTGTATAGTTGGGTCAGCTGTGGCTGAGTGGTTAGAGCAGGCGCTCTCCAATGGGAGAGTTGGGGGTTTGATTCCATCAGCAGTCACATGCTGAAGTGTCCCTGGGCAAGACACTGAACCCCTCGTTGCCTCCAATGTGTGTCCCATTGGTGTATGAATGTGATCTAAAGCACTGATTATTCCTTGAAGAGGACCAATAGTAGAGTATAGTAGAGTGATGTATGAATGGGTAAATAAGGACACAGATTGTAGTGTAAAGTGCTTTGAGTATCTTGATAAGATAGAAAGGCGCTATATAAGTACAGTCCATTTACCATTTAGTGTTTGCAAGAAATACTGTGCAACTTTAGAGATTAGAGTTGTTTTAAGACGGCAGCACTTTGGTTTTGGCTCCGCTCAGATTACACGTTAGCTCATCAATCCGGTCTAACCCCAAACTCAGGTTGTTCAATGAGTCAATTCCAACAGGAAATACATTAATTTTTCATGTTTTCCACTGTATATAATCAGAATCATTCCATTAATATAAACTGGTATGATAACTGCAGAGTTATGAGATTTAGCAACAAAATTGTCTATAAACTGATCCAGGATTTCTGATTGTGTAGATGTTTTTCAGTTTGTAAACAGCTTCCACAGAGTGAAATGTGAGACGGACCGCAAGTTCACACCCATTTTATCATTGTGAAGAAGATCTAAGCTGTTGTCTCATTTCTGCTCAACCTACCTAAACTTACAGTAATACTCTGCTGTCAATTCAGTTAGCATCCTCACTAATGTTTATTTTTGTTGTTGTTTATTGTAGTGGATATTTGGTCCGTGGGCTGCATCATGGCAGAAATGATCAACGGAAAAACCCTTTTCAAAGGGAAAGACTGTATCCTTTCTTGCTCCTTGTCCATTTTTATATCTATAAAATGTGGAGAAATTTTTTTTTCAGCCTATAAAGTTAGAAACACTATGATTTTCAAATGATTTTGTTTGAGATTACCAAACGGTTGTTGCAATAAAAGAAAATGAGAAGCTCTTGATTAAACAGTGAAAGTTTTATGTTACGAGTACAAACTAAAACTTGTGGCAATTCCAGTAAATTACATGTAAGAAAAACCGACTTATTTCCCGAGGAGAAAAGTCAGATGACACTTTTACAGCAATGTAATTAGTTTTATTGTACATTGATTTATAGTGTTTGCTAACAATAATAAATAAAACTGTCACCGTTTCATTAACTTGCTTTCCATCCATCCATTATTCTGTTTATGTGCTTTCTTGAAACCGTACATTCACCAGCCACTTTATTTTGTACACCTTGCTATTACCGGGTGCACCCCCTCCGCCTTCAGAGCAGCCTCAATTCTCCATTTCATAGATCCAACAAGATGTCAGAAACATTCTTCACAGATTCTGGTCCATATTAACAAACTGGCATCACTCAGTTGCTGCAGATTTGTCAGCTGCACTGCCATGACGTGAATCTCCTGATCCACCACATCCCAAAGGTGCTAAATTGGACCGAGATCTGATTGGGGACCATTGAAGTCCAGTGAATTCCAACTTCTCAGACCCGGCAACAAATTTCCAATCTCTTATTGTCCAACGTTGGTGAATCAGTGTGAACCGTAGCCTCATTTTTCTGTTCTTAGCACCTGGGGTGGTCTGCTGCTGTAGCCCACCGGCGTCAAGTTTGGACGAGTCGTGTCTTCAGAGATGGTATTCTGCAGACCTAGGTTGAAACGAGTGGTTATTCGAGCTACTGTTGCTTTTCTGCCATCTTGAATCAATCTGTCCATCTTCCTCTGACCTTATAAAAGCTTTTTTTTTTGTCCACATATGGATATTTTCTCCTTTTATTGGACCATTTTCTTAAAACCTCTCAGAATGTGTGTAAAAACCCAAGTAGATCAGCAAGTCACTTAAATCCCCTGTCTTCCCCAATATGATGGTTCATCTTCAGGATGCTGTCTTCACCATGTCTACATGTCTAAAGGCTTTAAGTTGCTGCCTTGTGATAGGATTATTAGCTACTGGTATTTGTCTTAACAAGCGATTGAACTGGTGTACCTAATAAAGTGTCCGGTGAGTGTTTCACTGTTTATCTGTGAACATTTTAAACATCCTTTACTGTCACCTATTTGCTACCAGACATGGACCAGCTGACTCAGATTATGAAAGTAAACGGAGTCCCAGGACCAGAGTTTATACAAAAGCTGGAAAGTCAAGAGGTAGAGTAAAAATTACATTAATAACAAAAATTGTCCTGAAAGTTGTCTCAGGTTGTTTGACAATGTTTTCAGTTTCAGTCTGATGTTGGATTCTTTGGGAGAGCTGTTTGTAAGAAAAATATGCATTTGACTTTCCTTTATCAGTTACTAGAGGTCAGCATACACTTTTAATTTAACACCATTTTAAATAATTACAGATGTGTTTCCTTCTTGATCTACCTTTTATATTGGCGTTTTAGGAGCGGAGTGGAGACAATTTATACATTTTCCTCAATTTATTTGTTCAGTGTTGACCTCTAGAGCAGCGGTTCCCAACTCTGGTCCTCGAGGAACACTGTCCTGCATGTTTAAGTTGTTTCTCTGCTTTGACACGCCTGATTTAATGACCTCATCAAGCTCTGCAGAACGTCTTGTTTTTCTTTGTCCATACATGGGTGTTGAATCGCTCTTTGGCCTGTCACCTAGGACCAATCTGCCTTGGGGGAAACTACCAGGGACAGCAAAGCCCCTAGGATCATTCAGGCGCACATACCCCTCCACCATGATATGGTGGTGATTCAAGGAGGAAATGGAAAACAGAAATATAATGATGTTTTATTTAAGAGGGAAAAAAAATCTTAAAACATTAAATTAATAATGATTTTTTTTTTTTTTTTTTTTTGGGTGAACCAACAGTGGGGCTGAACAAAGTCCAAAAAAACTATTTCCTGTTTTGTGCTTTATATAAATAAATAAATAAATAAATAAATAAATAAAAGAAATGGCAGGCTGATTAGATTTATCTCTAAAAAATGTCCATGAAACTCCAATGTTTGCAATTCATTGAATCAGATTTTTATGACCATTTTACAGAAACGTTCAATAAATCACTGTGCATTTTTGCAAAGAGACTAATTAATTCCTCCATGTTTGCTTTTTTTAATTTTTCTCTTCAAAACAGGCCAAAAGTTATATTAGGAGCCTTCCCCGCTATCCAAGAAAAGACTTCTCAACATTGTTTCCCAGAGCCAGTGAACAGGGTGAGGTCAAATGTTTCTGATTTCTACAAACTTCTATCCCAAGTACTGGGGTGATAACAGCGCACTGCTGTCGTCCTTTTTTCTATTTAATATTGGTTTGGATGTTTTCTGGCTCTTTATGATATTGTTTTCCCCTGCTACTGGCATCATCAAAGCTTTACTACTTTTTATTCTAAATAGTGATTAGCATGTTGATTAAATCAGAATAAATGCTTATAAACTTTAATCTCTACATTTTGTATCCCTGATATTTTATTCAGAAAATGTTCGCTGTAACCTGCCATATGACAAATCTGAATATTATTTTTAGTATTTTTATTACGATTTTTAATGTTTGTTTGCTGTGCCACTCTCAGCTGTCGATCTGCTTGAAAAGATGTTGGTTCTGGATGGGGATGAGAGGCCCACTGCAGAACTTGCCCTGGAGCACCCCTACTTTGACAGCTTACGGGACCCAGATGACTTTCCTGAGCCTAAGCCGTACGATGACAGTCACGATAACGCCACATTGTCCCTGGACGAGTGGAAGCGTAAGAGAGAAACCATATTAAACGCTGTTAGAAAGAAACTCTCGTATTGTAACTCTTTAAACATCTCCTGTGTTTAAGGTACAGTATTTATATAATATTTGACCATTCGACAAGAGTTTTGGTCCAATTTAAATGCAGCTCTACATTTTATTTAAAAAGGTTACACATGAAGACAATAAAAAAAAATCACCTTTAGTTCTCTAGAAGAAACTACACACACATATCTATCTATATATATATATAAACATAATTCATATAAATCCCACCATGCAGTACCTTTTAAAATTCTCTCTCTATAGCAGTACATTTTAAAATGTGAGTCTTTTGTATGTTTCACCTCATTTTTATCATTTTGACCCACTCTTTTGGATAAAAAATGGCATCTTCCTTTTTAGACTTGTGGACTCCTTTTAAAAAAGCCTCATTACAGCATGTGCTCTGGATAAAGCTGGACTTCGTGTAGCTGCAAAACCAATTATTTCCTTTTTCAGACATTTTGTTGTAGATTTGTTGTTGTGCTTGGAATCATTGTTGTCGTGTTAATTTGTTTGAGGCAAGTTTCTTTTGTTTGCGTCTTTTTTGGGGGATAGATTGCTTCATATTCGACTATGGAAAATATTTTGGTGCACAAAACAGTTTATGATCAGCTCAATGAAAATAAGGTGCCCAAGTTCTGTGGCTGCAAATTGATTCCCATTTTTCCGCTTCCAGCTGTGCGCCTGGCAGTGGCTGTCGGCTTGTTTGCACCGACAGTGTTTGGGTCTCACCAAACATGTTGCTGTGCTTTAAGGTCAAACATCTCCTCCTGTTCAAGAAGGTTCTGGGTTTGTTCAGAAGCCATCCTGTCCAAACAAACTACATTTGTTTTTTTTATTATAGATGCTGAGTGAGGCAGGTTGTTTGTTTTTCTGGGCACTGCACAGTCTGACCTTGGGGTGGACTTACCGTGACTCCGCTCCTGAGAAAATTATCCTAAATGTTTTCTAACTGAATAATTATTTCTCACTTTAAAAGATGACAGTGACGTTGTTTAAAGATGTCCTTATAACCCTGTTTATATTGATTATTTGCTTCTCTCAGATTGCTGTTCAGGAACAATCGTGTGTGTGTTAGCACAAACAGCAAGAGGGACAAACATCAGCAACAACGAGTCAAAAGCTGCGCTTTTTTTATGAACTCAGTGGTAATTCTTCCGATGTAGATCTGGGTGGCTTTGAGCTTTTCAGAAGATCACACATTAAAGATTTGGATGATATGTTTGATTCTAATTTTAACTTGGAGAAACGATCAGTTCAGTTAAACTGAGGCTTTTATCGAAGGTGAAATCCTTTTTATCTTTTAATTACATCAAGAGAGCGATCCTTGCTTTCATCACTGGATTATTCAAACCATTTGTATGTTTGTTAGCCAGGCCGGCATCTCGCAACTGCTGTTAGTCTAGAACGTGTCAAACTCGAGGCCCAGGGGCCAAATGTGGCCCTTGTTGACATTTTATCCGGCAACAAGATGTTATTTTAAATGTAAAATACTTTTATCACTTTAATTTTTTTCAGTGATTTTTGATTATGATGTTAAAAGTGCAACAGAGAGCGTCAAATAAGACCAATCAAACTCTTGTTGAGGAACCTGCAGCCATGAAGATGTCGGGTATCTAACTTGAGTTAATGTAGATTCTGAAGCCGGCCCTTAGTTTGAAAAAGGTTTTAATTTTAGCTTCCTTTTGTAAGTGGGTTTGACGCCCGTGCTCTAGAATGTTTCAGCTTATCTTTCAACATGAGCAAAATATTTATTTTAAAGTTTTATCGTTAACACAAAGGTTCCTGTGTACTGAAGCTTTATGTTTCCTCTAGTTCTCTCATGTCTAATGATCATGTAGTTTTAGTTTTTTTGAGATCCACGCTGGTACACAGAGCTGATTGCAGTTTTAACTCATAACTGTGGAACAGCCCTTACATAATGGGCTTCTTCTCTTTCAGTTTTGTAAATATCTTTAAAATACATTTGTTTTCATTGGCTTTTAATTAGGCATGACATTTTATTTATTTACCGTACTTTCTGCCATATAAGTTGCATCAGTCCAAATATCGCTAATAAAGTGTGTGTGTGTGTGTGGGGGGGGGGGGGGGGGTTGCTTTGCCGTATCAGTCGCATCTATTATGTGTCATCGCTGACAACCCAGAAACGTGGCCAGTGTTGTGCCAAAAATCGATTGGCTGCCAAACGGCGGCCGCGGGAGCGTACACGGGAGGACTTTAACAAGAATTTAACAAGATTAACACTTAAAAACATTTATTTGTTTGCTCGAAATTATAGCAAAGGTGTGTCTCAGTCTAACATTTCTTTAATAAATGCACTTTGACGGTCAAATCAGCTACATTTCAAAAGCCGATTTGCGGAAGCAGGAGCGTGCACAGGAGGACTCGCTGCGCATTTCATCTAAATTTAACAAAATAACTGCCTAAAAACAGTTATTTGTTTGCTGGACATGATAGTAAAGGTGTGACATTTGGCCTGGGCAGAGCGGTGAAATGAAGCTGATTTAACGTTTGATCCAGGAGTTCTGGAGCGAGACGAAGGTGCCTTGGTATGGCAAGCCAAGTGTCTCATTAATAGCCACTTTTACCTATTAATGAGACAGAGCGGCTGTGGCTGAGTGGTTAGAGCAGTCGTCCTCCAATGCAAGAGTTGGGGGTTCGAATCCACCAGCAGTCACATGCCAACGTGTCCCTGGGCAAGACACGGAACCCCTTGTTGCCTCCGATGTGTGTCCCATCGGTGTTTGAATGTGATAAAGCTCTGATTAGTCTCTTTAGAATGATTTGTTCAATTAGCTTTGTAGAGATCTAGTAGAGTGCTGTATGAATGGGTAAATGAGGCACAGATTGTAAAGTGCTTTGAGTGTCTCAATAAGATAGAAAGGTGCTATAAAAGTAGTCCATTTTCTTAGCTTGCCATATTAGTCGAGGGCCCTCTGGTGGCTGAAAATGGTAGTGTTCAATATTTTTCATGTCGGAATGAATGAAATCGTCAGATCTCAGCCAAAAATTGGATTATAAATATGGGGGAAAAACATATATTAGTCGCTTCAGTGTATAAGTTGCAGGACTTGCAAAAATATGCAAAAAGATGCAACTTGCATGGTGAAAAATACGGTAATTTGTTCACTTTTTTGGATGGGAGGTTTTGATCCTTTTTTGTTTTTCTTTTACTATTTTATATGCAACACTTTAGCCTCAGCAGTCAATTTAAAAATGTTTTTTTGTTTTTTTTTCCAGAGGGTTTTAAAGGTTTTGTTGAATAAAAGACATTGCTTTGATCATTATTTGTGTTAAAAATCATCCGGTTAGTCTCGGTTTTTTTAAACTGTATGTCAAGACTAATAAACCCATAAAATTGAGAAAGTGTGTGCAAACGTTCACTATGACTGTTTAGTTTACCCAAAGAGCAGTTTTTACACACCCATCGAAGGCTGACCTATTATGGTACGGTCCCTGTACGTCCGTAAACTGTCTCTTGTCCCACCCATAACTTCTAATCTAATTCTTCTAATTAATCTGATTTAACTAAAGTTCATCACGTACGCTTTCATCGCCCCAGTTCCAATGTCATGGTTATAACTCACGGCCGAAGTTTAAACAAGATCTTGGCTTGTCTGTTTTGATTTTCTCAAGATAATTTAAAATACTTGATACACATGATTTGTACCACCACTAGATGACATGTTTTGTAATATTTCAGCTCTATGGTCAAAGTCACAAATCAAGGTCAAAGGTTATACAAGGGCTTTTCTTGTTCTGGCCATTACTATAGATTTCTGAATAATAGAATGTGCCGTATATACTGTACTTCTGTTAGCACATTCTGTTGTCATGCTTGCAGTGTTGATGCTGGTGTATCTTCTTATTTGATTCATTGCTTTTTTATTGAAAGAAACAAATTGTCTCTCTTCTTTCCTCCCAGGGTTATGTTTCAAAGAGGTAAAAAGCTTTGTGCCGTTCCCCCGACGGGACTCCAAGAGAAAAAACACTCTGACCATGTCTCCGTGAGCCGATGGACTTGATGTACCTCGTGATGCCCCAACTGTCACAGCAGACGACCAATGGTGCCCTTGTAAATTCTTCATCACACTATTTCTTTCGTCCTTTGGGTATTTACAGTAGATTTAAAATCGGTGTATAGAATTGTGATTTGTCTTAAAACTGCCCCTTCTTTTTTTGTAATGTGAATTTAAAAAAATCCAAAATGTAAATTGTTACACATTCCTGCCCATTGTTGCAAATGGTTTTGTGGTTAAAAAGGTTTCCTGTAAGACTGATGTAATATTGGTTTCCAAATAAACAAGTTGTGCATACAGAAGTGGTATTTATTTGTACAACACTCATCCATACATCATCTTTACCCGCTTCTTCTTCTTCGGGTCTCGGAGGTCCTGCAGTCACCGTGCGAGGGGCGGGTTACAATCTAGACAGGTTTCCAGTCCATCACAGGGACACATGGAGACAAACGAGACAAACAACCATTCCGACTGTCACCTATGGGCAATATGTGGCACTTATTCATGTAAAGCCTGGCCTGGATTAACCCAACCTGGGTTCCTCTGGGTTTGGAGTGTTGGTGTTGGGCAGTATGGCCCAGTTCCAGCTCCGTTTTTCGAACCCATTGACTTGGGGTTCCATCGAGCTGGGCCGGTGCTGCAGATTTGACGTCGGCAGATGATTGACTGGTTCACTTTCCCGGGGGGCGACGTCACAGATGAGTCATACTTCCAGCGACTGCTCCTTACCGCCCCTTCTTTCAGCTACTTGCTTCAGGCTGGTTGTGTGATAAAGAGCTCCACCAGTAACACCAGTGCCCTAGACAAACGACAAGGTGGAGTTATTACTAAGCTGAGATTCACGCTGTCTGCTATGAAGATCTTGCCCAGATTGAGACGGCCCTCTGCTGAAATCAAACAAAACCGGACCAGCCCAGCTGTGGCTGGACTTCCAGTGGCCGACCGGCCATAGTAAGTCCCTCGTCCATGCGGGACAGCTTTACAATGCATAAGAGACATTTGAGTTATCGGTTAATAGACTTAACATCTTTTGGTCTAAGGGAAGAAATCAGAGTTATCAGGAAAACACCCAGGTGTGCACGGAGAGAACAAGCAAACTCCACCCACAAAGATCCCAGGCTGGGATTCAGCCCGGCAACCTTCTCAGCTTTACCAACTGTTCCACACTCTGACTTTCATGATCATTCAAATGATTTAATTGATGTGGAAGTGCAGAGTATAACGACTATTTGGAGATGCCTTAAAGGCCGAGTAGTTGCCTTCTGGATGTGCATTAATACAAAATCATTCTGAGACCTGCTGAAATTTGTGTCCATGACGGTGTATGTGATGCTGAACACAAGTCATACTATTCTTTTTTGCATTTTATTATTTATTTTATTAGTGTTGTGTTTTATTTTTTGCAAACTACTCTTGCATATCCTGATGCATGCTCAATAATCCAGGTAGAAAAATATAAAGTTAAGTCTAGACTAGACTTAACTTTATTAAATACTCTTGCATACCTTTTTCTATTTTGGCCATTCATTTATAAAAAATGGTCCGCTCATTCAGTAAATATGTCTACGCTCTGAGTTTTGGTTTTGTAACTTGTATTTTTCAAAATGTTTATATTTTATTTTTAAACATTTCATTCATTCATCCATTATCTTCTGCTTGTTCCTAAGTCAAGTCGTGGGGGCAGCAGCTCGAGTAGTGAGGTCCCAGACCAACTGAGACAGTCTCTCCAGCGGGTCCTGGGTCTTTCCCGGGGTCTCCTCCCAGTCGAACATGCCCGAAGCACCTCCAAAGGGAGGCGCCCAGGGGAGCATCCTTACCAGATTTAGTGTTAGTGAAATTAAAATTAATTTAATTCCATCATTTTTTCTTTGAAATCTGCTTCAGCGTACTTGCTCTGTTTTGTGTAGGCTCTTGGACATATTTTGATACTTTTAACTTTTAGCTCTTCTTGTGTTACTTTTAGCTAAATTTCTGTAACTAAGCTTTTTGCTTGATAGTTTAGCAGTTTCCATACATTAGCTACTATAGCTTTAAGCTAATGTTTTGCTACTTTTTGCAATGTTTTGCTTTACGTTAACCTTTTGCTACTTCTAGCTTTTTGTTAATGTTTTGCTTCCTTTAACAAGTGCTTATTCCTTGCATTGCTTGGTTTCAGCTTCTGCAAATTTCAGTAGTAATCATACTTCATTTTTACAGAAATTAACTTATTCTAGTTGTATTTGATTACTTTTCAAATCAGTTAAAATAAACATATTGCAAATTGTTGATCTGCGCATTGCAGTCTAATAATTTTTAATATTTAAAAGGATTGTTTCTACACCAGCCTCACTTGAAGAAGTACCATTTTACTAAACATAATATTTGTATATATTTAGAATTTTTATTGTTTAATAATTTACTTAGGGCCTACTTGTTTAGTCAGATTATAAGTGGTAGAAAATAACTTTACATAGTCTCTTCTTTTTGAATGTATGCATTTTGAACATTACATATCACCAGTGCATGTTTTTCCAAAAGGCTTCTACACAACCTACTGGTGCCGCCTTCAGGGTGACCGCACAGATAATACAAAGTCTCCTGTTTCCTTCGAGATGTGAATACAAGAGAAACCATCTTCACAATACTGTTTGGTTTTTATGTTGTTTTTAACTAAATAGAACCCTGGGGTTACTGGCAGGACAGTGGAACCAGTTGGTAGAAATTAGACAAATGAGATGAGTGACTGTTAAGCGGCTGGCGCGCGAAAATCATGGCCAAATGACGTCAATTGGGTAGGCTCTAGGCCGGCTGAACTTTCCCAACCTGCTGTTAGAAAGTAAACAGCAAACTGACAGTAAGCGGAAGTGAGGCACAGCGTCTTCAAAATAAAAGTTTGCACAATCATTTTGATACAACTGTTTAAAGTTGCTTCAAAGTCAAAAGTTAAACTCCATATTAAATGTATCAGCAGCAAATTACATTAGATGAAAAGTCAGTAATACGACAACAAAATTGTCTACAACAAAAAAAAAACTTTTATGACACGTGACGGCATTTCCAAAAACCGATGCAAATATGCAAACTATACTGGTATATACTGTATGCATGTATACATACACACACACATATAT